CAGACCACCTTAATAAATATTTGAATTGATTCTTTATTGTATTGCTACTGTTGTGTCCTTAATTCAGACTTTTCCATGCACAGCTGTTTAAATGTACAGAGATCAACAGGTTCGACTAGGTCAGATCTGCCTGTATTTTGCATGCATAGACCATTTGATTTTATGAGGGAAAGGAACTGATCTAACCTTGCAGCTAATAGTTACAGGTTGACTTGCATAATGAGCTGATGGCAAAGCTTTCCTTGTCAACAAGGAAAAGCAATATTGGATTCAAATTAACAAAGTTGTAGAGAAGGATAAATTATAATATACTGATCCTGGGAATTAAGGCAACAAAATACATGTCTGTCTTCCACATGTCGATGTAATCCCTACTGTCTCTGGATTCAGACCTCCTTTGCAAGTCACTTCATGCAGCCAGATGGAAAAGAATTTTCCTCAACTCCCAACATGTGTTCAGGGAAGACTCTCACTCCAGTGAAAACCATGATAACTTCATGGCACAGCCATCTGATATGTTGGTGGAAGGACCCTTGACTGGGTCACTTCGGACACCAACAGCATCATGTGGAATGGGAAGGAAAGTTTGGGAGGTATAGAGTTGCTGCTACATCTTCCAGTATGGGCCAAGAACTTCCTGAGCTTTATACCACAAAACTTTTTTGCAAGTCAAATTTGTTTGCATGCTATCTCCCCTGGGTATACCTCTGCATGTTAGCACCCAGTTACGTATTTCTACCCAAAGATCTTAAAATTACATGGTATATAATTTTAACCCCTGAGCTCTTTGATTATGAATAATTCTACAGTTACAAAGCAGAAACACAAAGGATGACGAAAATAAGGGATTGAAAACCAGTAACTTTGGAGGGTAATTTTTAATAAAAACATTGGCATGCTTTATTAAAATAAGGGGTTCTGTACAGCAAAATACATTTACTTCTAGAGACATTGAGAAAGTGGAAATAGACAAAGTAGCACTGAACATTCATTCTCTTTTTATGCACTTTTCCTTTATTAACTTGGTTATCATATCTTTTTTATTACCAGCTCTGGATTTATTTTTATACTGTTTGGGGCTGATCCAGTATCTTCTTACCAGGAAAGAATTTTCTTTGAATAGGGAAAACAGGTTTTTGTACTTTTGTTTGTTGATTTTGTCTGCTCATTAGAGTTCACTTTTGTTTGAGCTGTTAACAATCTGTCACTGTACCTTCAGAGTGTCCCTGGATTATTCCTTGATAATTGTCAGTCTGTATAATACAACAAATTATATAAAAAAGGCATAGGATATAACAGAAGGTTGTTCTATAATTTGTTGTAATTGTTACTTTGACTCACATTGTCTATTCTAAACAAATATTATTGCAATTACTGGAAGTCAAGAAATGATTAAAAAAAAAAAAAAAGACCCCAAAACGTATAGGCTTCTATTTCAAGAGAGTTATTAATAGGAGGACCAGAACTTAACTGCAGCATTAATAAACAGTATGTGGTTCTGTGTTTTTAAATCCAGCAAAACTAAAATATATTGTGTGGATGAAACTGAAGTGTATTTAGACTGTTTTATTTTGCTTGGTGCTAGGATAGAATGTGAAACTAAATATATTCATCCAAAGATAACTGAAGTTCCTGCTCCTGCTTCTATTTCATCATCTGTTAGAAATCTCCTAGGTGATTAAACTAATGCACTGTAAAAGAATGAATCAGTCCTGCAGAGCTCTTCTCTGTACAGAGAATAACTTGCTCAGTTAAGTACTGTTGGGATTTTACTAAATTAAAATCCTAGGAATTTTTGTACATAATACATTTTATCTGTGAAAACGGAGCAAAATTTTATATGTGACTCTTAAACTAAATTCCTATGGTAATTAATAAAGAAGATTTGAATACCTTTCTGGTAGAGTCATCTTTGACCAATTTAATAACTTGATTTTCTTAACAGAGGAAAACCCTTATCTCTCAAGGCTTGTGGTAACATTGGGATACACCATGAAACTGTTAGAAGAATCAGAGAGTCTGTTCTTTGTTGGGAAAAGATGAATTCAGACTGGAAACTTATCTTTTACTGATTCAGGTGTAACATAGGCTTAGTAATTATTTAATATTTATATTCCAGTTCCTGTGTGGGCTCCAGTAGATCCCTGAAACTCTTATCTGAAGCATCAAGTCTCCATTGTGTACCAGCACATGAAAATATGACCTTCCCTAAAAGCTAAACTCACTGGACCTAGATAAGGCTGCTTACATATCCAGAGCTGGATGATTTTAACTATTCACTTGTTTACAGATAAACATGAATATTGTTCTTTGTGTGTCTGGCAAAGATAGGCAAAAACTGTAGTTGGAGATATTCTCTTCTAACAAATACATGCGTTTGCCTTTTTTTTAGTAGCTTTATTTTACTTATGTTACTTATTGCCACTCCTTCTTGGCCTATTTTCTTGTGACTGGTATGGTAAAGGGGAATGACAAGAGTTAAAAAAGAGATAGAGAAGTTAGTCAGCACAGAGATGGCATTTCATGAATGGCATTTTGTGATTGTCGCATGGAATAAAAGTACATAAATGTAAATAATAAGATATATATAATAAATTTATGTTTTTCAGAGCATTCCTTCTGGAACTTTTGGTCTCGAGCTGCAACTTACACTTGTCCATTTTACTCAGTGTAGTTGTGCGTAAAGACTATATGAAATCACTGTAATCTAACAAAAGCATCCTTTTATTATATGGCATAGCATTTATGTGTGCATTCACTATCTAATTCTAATACAGTGTTTGATTTTTGACTGTAGTAAACAGAAATAGTTCAGCTTTAATATGGTATAGGCTCTTCCAGTTTTTAAAGTTTTCTTTCAAAATTCCATGTAAACATCTTACTGTACTGCACCCATAGTATCTGCACAACATACACAATTCTGTAGATTGCTAAATCATTGTTAAATCTGATTGAAATTAACTGAATTGTGAAAAAAAATAAAAATTGTACGCACTTATTTGGATTTATAGAATCACAGGATCACAGAATGTTTTGGGTTGGAAGGAACCTGAAATATCACCCAGTTCTAACCCCCTGCCACAGCCCGGGAGAGCTTCCACTAGACCAGGCTTCTCAGAGCCCTGTCCAGTCTGGTCTTGAACACTGCCAGGGATGGAGCAGCCACAGCTTCTCTGGGCAACCCGTGTCAGTGTCTCACCAATTTCACAGTAAGAATTTTTTCCTAATACCTCATCTTAATATACCCTTTTTTAGTTCAAAGCCATTGCTCCTTGTCCGGGCACTACATGCCCTTGTAAAAAGTCCCTCCACAGATTTCTTGTAGGTCCCTTTTAGATACTGGAAGGCTGCTATAAGGTCTTCACAGCTTCCTCTTCTACAGAGTGAGTAACGCAAACTCTCTCAGCCTGTCTTCATGGGAGAGACAGCTCAGTCCTCAGCCCTCTGATCACCTTACTGGGCCTCCTCTGGACTTGATTCAATAGGTCCATGTTCTCCTTACGCTGGGGGCCCTAGAACTGAACACAGTACTCCAGATGAGGTCTCATGAGAGCAGAGGGGCAGGATCACCTCCTTTGACCTGCTGCTCATGCTCCTTTTGATGCAGCCCAGGATATGGTTGGCTTTCTGCAAGTGCACAATGCCAGCTTGCTTTGAGCTTCTTTGTGAACCAACACGCTAAGTCATTCTCCTCAGGGTTGCCCTGAATCTATTCTCTGCCCAGTCTGTAGGTGTGCCTGGGATTGCCCCGACCCAGGTGTAAGACCTTGTACTTGGCTTGGTTGAACTTCATGAGGTTGGTATTGACCCACCTCTCAAGCTTATCAAGGTCCCTCTGGATGGCATTCATTCCCTCCAGTGTATCAACTGAACCACACAGCTTGGTGTCATTGGCAAACTTGATGAGGGTGCACGTGATCCCACTGTCCATGTCACCGACAAAGATGTTGAACAGTGCTGGTTTTAATGCTGATCCCTGAGGAATACCAGTCATTACTGGTCTCCACTTGGAGCTGTTGACTGTAGCTGTCTGAGTGCAATCATCCAGCCAATTCCTTGTCCGCCTAGTGGTCCATCCATTAAATCCATGCTGCTCCAATTTAGAAACAAGAGTGTCATGCACAACAGTGTCAAATGCTTTGCATGAGTCCAGAAGACGATGTTGGTTGCTTTTCCCTTACTCTCCAGTGCTGTAACCCTATTGTAGAAGGCTACCAAATTTGTCAGGCATGATTTCCCTTAAGTGAAGCCATATTGTTCATCACCAATCACCTCCTTATTTTCTACATACTTTTCCAGGAGGATCTGCTCCATCCTGGGCTGCATCAAAAGAAGCGTGACCAGCAGGTCGAAGGAGGTGATCCTGCCCCTCTACTCTGCTCTCGTGAGACCTCACCCTGGAGTACTGTGTGCAGTTCTGGCGTCCTCAACATAAAAAGGACATGGATCTGTTGGAACAAGTCCAGAGGAGGGCCACGAGGATGGTCAAGGGACTGGAGCACCTCCCGTATGAAGACAGGCTGAGAAAGTTGGGGCTGTTCAGCCTGGAGAAGAGAAGGCTGTGTGGAGACCTCATAGCAGCCTTCCAGTATCTGAAGGGGGCATATAGGGATGCTGGGGAGGGACTCTTCATTAGGGACTGTAGTGATAGGACAAGGGGTAACGGGTTAAAACTTAAAACAGGGAAAGTTTAGATTGGATATAAGGAGGAAATTCTTTCCTGTTAGGGTGTTGAGGCACTGGAATGGGTTGCCCAGGGAGGTTGTGAATGCTCCATCCCTGGCGGTGTTCAAGGCCAAGTTGGACGAGGCCTTGGGTGATACTGTTTAATGCGAGGTGTCCCTGCCCATGGCAGGGGGCGTGGAACTTGATCTTAAGTTCCAACCCTAACTATTCTATGATTCTATGATTCTATGATCTTGCTGGGCACCAACGTGAGACTTACTGGCTTGTTCCCTTTTTTCCTTTTTAAAAATTGGGTTATGTTTTCCGTTTTCCAGACAGTGGGAACTTCACCAGACTCCCATGACTTCTCAAATATGTGGCTTAGCCACTTCATCTGCCAGTTCCCTCAGGACTTGCAGATGAATCCCATTTGGTTGCATGGACTTGGGCACCTTATGGAATTCAAGAGGTAAATTTAATTCAGTCATGTCTGTGCCTTTTTATGCTTTCTGTTTGTGAACACTTAAGAACTTGATGCTGAGAATATTCTAGGAGTATTGAAGGCTGAAGACTTTATGAAAACCATTGTTTAATATAGTACTAACACAGTGAGATTCCTTTGGGCCTTTTGTAATAATGCTTGTGATGGCAATGGGGAATAATGCTTGTCTTTATAAAGAGATGGTGGATGTTGAACTTGATTTGGTATAGGGCCTTTCTTGTTCAAATTCAATGTTACACCAGTCGGGGAAGGCTACCATACTTAGGAAGTAAAGCTGATAGTTTTCCAAAGGAAAATTACAAAGTGATGTAGACCTATTATAAATCTACTTGAAAAGACCAGTATTGTCACGGAAGGGTTTCTTGTGCAATAGCACTTGGCAGAATAGAAAAGAGGATTGCAGTTTAGAGAAAGGAGTTTATAGCAGCTCAGCATAAAATGCTTTTCTTAGTTATTTTGGAACAGTACATTCAGTTGGCTTTTGACCTGGTGTTCTCCTAAATCAACAGTAAAGGTCAGACATAAATAAGATAATTTTGATGCACTGGTAATTAAGAAGGTATTTTAATTCAGGGCAGTAACTTATCGGAAATGAAGAATGCAAACAGACAGATACAAATAGAGGGGAGAGCCTTTCCGAGGCTACTGCCTAGGAATAACCTTTGAGCTCTGATCCTGCATAGTACAGTACTTTGTCCACTGTGGAGGGAGGGCTGATTTAGTTTTCTCTTCTGCTTTTTTTTTCAGTGTAAAGTCACTGCAGAGTTCTCTGCTCAAAGAATGTTAGTGACATGGCAGAAGTTGTTGTAAGTGAGGATTGCCAACACGATTTCTATGTATGTTTTCTATTTCCGTGACAAACATTGCCCCAAACAAGGGAGCAGTGGTAGCTGACAGATTAAGTCAAGGCAGATCCTGAAGGAAAGGTCTCCTTTTAAGGAAGAGGTGGCATTTTGACAACTGGCAGGTCAAGGAATTTCATCAGGAAGGTGACGATCTAAATTGCTAAGGAGTCCAAAGGTAGCAAGGTAGTGAGCTAAGGGGAGCAACAAGATGGCTGGAGCATGAATAGGCATGTTAATGAACTTAAGAGTAAAATGGCTGCTAAATAAAATAATAAAGTACACATTCTCTTATTTAAGTCAGCAATTGTATTGGAAGACAGCAAATATTATACTTCTACTTATAAAAAGCTTCAATGATAACCTGGAGAATTACAGCCCAGTAAGGCTTATTTCAGCTCTTTGCAACTTTATTGATAGGATGATTAAAAATACAGTTATAAAAAAATTCCAGAAATACAGTCTGATGATATGGTAGGGAATAATTGCACAAATTTGTAAAGGAATATTTACCTTACTGATTCTTTGCATGTATAAATGGTACATTAGATGAATGAAAGACAGTTGATAAAGTACATTTCTATATGTAATCACTGATACATCTGAAAGTGACAGGAAACAAAGCCAGGTAGATTTCCCTAAAAAGGTGGCAAGAGGAGGTAGAAGACTGAAATTCATGTCTTCCTTCTGAATCAATGTAGAAGACAGGTTTGATCTTACATTCTCTATGTTCAAAATAGCTGCTCAAATCGGTGAATTTTGGAGATCCCAAGGAGTGAATTTTTTGTTCCCTTTGTTCTGATAGGATTTACAATCCCTAGCAGAATGCCTGTCTCAGATGAATTGATGCCTAAACCCCACCCATTTCCTCTGTTTCACTGCTGACTTGCTTAGTGGTGTCACATTCAGACAGCTTTGGGAATGTCTTTAGCAGCATATTAATTTCATGCAAGTGTGCCATTAAGCATCAAGGTATATCTGAGCTAGGCACAGTAATGCTTTAGCATTTTTGATGTTCTGAGCAATGTAGTACTCTGAGAAATTAACATTCTGTGTGGATAAAAGAGTACAAAGCAGAAAAAAGAATATTTTGTTTTTCTCAGGGTAAAGAATAACTTTTGAAGTACCTCAGGGTCCCATATATGGGTAGAATTTGGTCTAATTATTAATAATTTGGAAAATGGAAGACTAGTGAGGATTAAATTCTATATGTGCTCCCAAATAATTTAATTAAAGTCAAAGAAATGTGAACAAACTGGCTGCAATGTTGCCGCAATGGTGGGATAAAATCAGAGTTGCTTTAAAGTGGTGATCCTAAAATGCCAGATTACTATCACACCTTCAATGGCTTTAAAAAAAGGGTGTGCAATGACACAATATCTCAAATGAGTGTGCAGATGATATAATCAGAAGAATTCAGAATAAATTTATGAACGAAATGACTACTAGTAAAAGCATGCACTTTCTTTTCATCAGACTTTTAATGGATGAATTATAGTATTATTTGATATGCTCCTGTGTGCTGTCCACAATCTACTTTTCACAGCTCAGCAGAACTCCATGGGAACCACAAGAATTTGGTTTGGGATCTCTTGGCCTAAGAAAAGCACTACATATTGAAGGGCACAATTTTAAGTATTTTTACTTCTTAATGGTTTTTAAAACCTGAATATCACTGCTCTTTGCTCAGTGAAGTGCTTCGGTTACTAGTGCCTGGAGCTGAACTCAGGCTTCCTGTCTGCCTACCCACCGGCTTCAGCAGTTCTCTGCCAAAGGTCTGCCTGCCTAATGGTGTTCAACCTTTTTTGATTTGTAGTACCTTGAGAAATTCCTTGTAGAGTTGCAGGCTCTGAGTAATAAGTGCAAGTGTTCTGATAATAGGCTTGCTTTCCTTTTTTTTTTTGTTTTTAAATGACCACATGCAGATCCCAGGAGTAGTCCATAGGGATCCAGGAATCCTTCAGTGATAGGTACCAAAAAAAACCCTCCAGTTCAACAACGGTTTTTAAAGGAGCCTTTAGTTGAAAACTCTGATGATTAAGATTAGAACAATTGTACCTAAGCATATGCTAAAGTGTATTTTGCATTTCATGCTGTACCTATTTTCAGCATCACTACTTTATGTTTTCCAGTTTAAATGCAGGCCCTTTGTTTTCACTGAAGTTGAAAGGGAAGACATTCTGAAGTAATTAGAACATTACTGCTCTTTTCAGCATTAGTGTTCCCTTTATTCTTACAGTTAAAAAGTATAAAAAAAATCAAATTAATGGACTTCAGAGACTTGGTGGGTGCATGGGCCTGGAGAAGCAGCAGGGAAGCAATATACTTAATGTGGTGAGAGGTGAGATAGCAAACTTTTGTGTACCCTATGTACCATGTATTAATCTCCTGATAACTGCTTTCACATTTGAACCTTCTGTCTCTTATGTGAGATCCAGCAATCTCTGCTTTTTCTGTTCTGGGAGCAATTTTCCAAATCATTAATTTTCAGTGGCCAGGCTTCAATTAGCTTAATCAGGCATTGATTAGATTTCTCAGGTCCCTGGCATTTATTTTCCACCTTGCCTATATGGTTCCTTGACTCCATTACCTGATTGTTCACTTATTGCTTATAAGGTTGATTCCTCTCCATTAACATTCCCTGATGAGAGGTCTCGTTAGCCTTCCAGCTAGCCACTTTCATTAGTGATGGTGGCAATTCATGGTAAAGGCCAGTTTCTACTGCCCTTTCAAAGCAGGATATTTTCTTCTAAGTAGTGTTACTGCTTCAGCAATCTGTTCTTAGATGAGATGAAGGTGATGCTTATAAACAATTCTGACCCAAAGAGAAAACACTTTATTTGGAATATACTTCATACTTTGTTTAGAAAGTTGTGAAATCGTAGGAAATGAATGAAGTGATGGTTTTTCAAAGCATACTTCATGCAAGTTTAGCTTTTTTTTAACTTCTGCTTTTCTCAGTGTCTAGCTTGATGTATTAAACTGCATTTTCATAGCCAGCACTCATGATGTGAGGGAGTTTGATGTGGTTTTATAATCAAGGGTGATGTGAGGCACATGTAGACTCCATGTCTCCATAGACTGCAGTCCTTGTAGACCCCATGCCCTGTTCCTAGATACCAGTTGCTCAGCAGCAAAAACTTGGGTGCAGACTCATTCCTCATGATGCATGTTTTTGAGGAGGTTTGAGCAGCAAGACAGGTGAAGGATGAACTTGAAAGTGAGGGACTGGATGGAGCTGGAAATTGGGACTTCAGGTGAATTTTTCTAGGTTGAAAAGCACTTTCTTCTCTCTAAATCTAGTAAAGTCTAACACTGTCTGTGGTCAGATCTGTTCATTATGCTTTGTTTTTGCAAACAATGTGTTCTGAAGGCACAGACCTCTCTTATAAATGTTTTGTTTGAATCATGTTTGCACTAACTTGGACGAGACAGACATGAACGTAAATGAGCTTGTGCCAAAACTGATAGCAGGGAAACTCTGATAGCACAGAGTTTCATTTTCCAGGACTTTGTTTACTATCTGTGAATTTAAAACTCTAATAAAAAGTCATCTTAATAATAAAATATAGTTTCCAATTAAAAAATATGGAATCAGATCTTCAAACATTTTTTCTATGGCTTTTCGGGAGAGTTGCCAACATTTCCAAGTTTTTTTGTAATTAAACCAAAGTTGCTTAACTTCTGTTTTGATCAGTCAACATTTCTGAAAAAATGACGTTTTGCCAGGAAGCTCCTAAACCACTCTAATTTTCACACACTTGTATAATTAAATATATGATTTTTCTTCTCTGAATCCTAGGACATACACATGCCTTCTAATTTAAATAATAATGGATAATAAAGGATCATCTCAAGATTTAGTATTTGGTGGTTTATTTTTGCAGATTGTTCTGAGAAATACTTTGAGCACTAGTTTCAGCTTTTGTTCAAAAAATGATAGTACAAGGAATGTGTAAAAACCACTTTTCATGATCACTTTCTTCTTACTAGTTAGGTGGAACAGTGATTAGGTTCAATGTGAGACTGTTCTGAAGCTCATTTTCTCTTTTTTGTACTCTTTGTTTTAAAGATTTATTGTAAATTGCTGGATTCTTTATTCATTTTGTTGTTTATGCTTTGTGA